ATCTATCTATCTATCTATCTATATCTATCTATCTATCTATCTATCTATCTATCTATCTATCTATCATCTATCTATCTATCTATCTATCTATCTATCTATCTATCTATCTAGCTAGCTATCATCTAGCTATCTAATCTACTCAATATATTTTTTACTTCAAGTGGTTCTTTGGCATCCTAAATTTTGAGAATCATTGTTTTAAATGGATAATGTCATGTATGAGAATAATTTTTAGGGTTCATTAAACTATATCTGCTACTTGCTTGGCAGTTGAAATTTAGGTAACAATTTGATTGATTACTTTGCAGAGTTAATATCAGTTGTTAAATATTTCATTAATATTTTGCCTTAAGAAAGTGGACCTTCATCTGGAACGTGTGTGTCTATAGGATATGCATTTTCTACTTAGTTCCAAATGGTAAATGATATTTAAATGTATGTCAAAAAAATAGTATACTTTTAGGTTGTCTCAAACTTTGTAAAAAATTTATCTTAAGTTGTTGTGTGATGTTGATTAGGAACCAACTCATAGACCACCTTCCAGTGGGTTCTCATAGGCTTTCATTCACAGGGAAGGACACTGGCCATCTTTCTCCTTGGAGAAGTTGGTGGATTCAAACACCTGTCTTAGGGTTGGGCAGTGCAACATCTTACTTTTGAACTAGCACAATAATTTTTATTTGGGAGGTAGAGTAATTAATTAAGAAGAATATTCAATAACATGTCTTATTCTAAGATTATAAAATTTAGCTAATCAGTATGAACATTTTGATTTGTAGTGTATTAGACTCAATACCTACTAATGAAAAATGATCACCGTTGACATCTATTGGCCATTTCTGTTTTTAGCATGAAAAATCATGAATCTAACTCAAGTATTTATATATGTGAAATATCTAACTAGTTTTCTGTTTAAGCATTCATTTAAATTTTTAGCTGGCTCCATAAATTTTATAATAACTGTGGTTAAGTGATTATTTAATGCATCTTATTTTATGCAATTATCTATTCTATTGAATGAAAATTGTGTGTATGGTGTTTTAACATTATTTATAATAAGACTATGCAAAAGCATTTATGTGGATCACAACAAACTGTGGTTAACTCTGAGAAGAATGAGAATACCAGAACCCTTGATAGTACTTATGCGAAACCTATACTTGGATCAGGAGGCAGTCATCAGAACAGAGCAAGAAAACACTGCACGGTTCAAAATTGGGAAGGGTGTACACCAGGGATATGTCCTATCTCCATATTTTTTCAATCTCTATGAAGAACAGATTATCCGGGAGGCTGGGCTCTATAAGGAGAAATGTGGCATCAGGATTGGAGGAAGACTCACCAGATGACACGATCCTGCTTGCTGAAACAGAGGGCCTGAAGTGCTTGTTGTAGAAGGTCATGGACTACAGCCTTAAATATAGATTGAAACTCAACACCAAGAAAACAAAGATTCACCCGGGGGCCGGGAGAGGCCCCGAGATGCAAAGCAAGAAGTACAACGTGCACTTCCCGCTGGCGCGGATCAAGAAGATCATGCAGACAGACGAGGAGATTGGGAAGGTGGAGCGGCTGTGCCGGTCATCATCCCCCGGGCGCTGGAGCTCTTCCTGGAGTCGCTGCTGAAGAAGGCCTGCCAGGTGACCCAGTCCCGCAACGCCAAGACCATGACCACGTCCCACCTGAAGCAGTGCATTGAACTGGAACAGAAGTTTGACTTTCTGAAGGACCTGGTGGCCTCAGTGCCTGACATGCATGGGGAAGGAGAAGACAACCACATGGACGGGAACAAGGGTGCTCGCAGGGGCTGGAAACCAGGTGGCACCAGCTGGAAGAATGGTGGCATGGGCAGCAAAGGCAAGGACAGGAAGCTGTCAGGGATGGACTCGGAGCAGGAGGATGATTCCGAGGACACATATACTGAGGGGGAGGAGGAGACGCTGCAGTCCCCTGCCCAGGCCAGCCACCCCCCTGCCCACTTTCAGAGGCCCCCCCGCCCCCTGACACCCTTCATGCCTTTCACCTCCTCGACCATGCCTCTGCCCCGAGCATCCCTGGGCCCATCAGCACCTGACGCAGAGGACTAAGAGGATTATGACTCCTAGCGTCCCGTGCCCCCCAGGCTATGCTCCCTTTTAGTTGGTTTTAGTTGTTCTAGGGGGAGGAGAGAAACGGGACCTGTTCTTAAATTTAAAAAAAAGAAAGAAAACAAAGATTCTTACCACTGGACAAATTGGCAGCATCATGATAGATGGTGAAGAGATTAAGTTTGCTTGACTCCACAGTCAACACTCATGGTACCAGCTGCCAGAAAATTAAAAGGTGAATTGCATTGGGAAAGTGCTATTAGAGACCTCTCCAAAGTACTGAAGAGCAACAATGTCAGTCTGGATACTAAGGTGTGCCTGATCCAGGCTATATTCTTTGAAATTACTTGCTATGCATCAGATAGCTGGACAATGATGAGGGACGATAGAAGGGTCTTTGAGCTGTGGTGCTGGAGAAAGACTGCTAGGAGAACGAACACGTTTGCCCTATAAAGGGTGAGATCAGGCTGTTCCCGGGAGGCAAGGATTCTATCACTTCATCTGACATACTTTGGACATGTTGCAAGGAGGGATCAGTCCTTGGAGAGGGACATGACATGCTTGGAAGGGTGGAAGGACAGCGCAAGAGAGGAAGACCCTTGATGAGATGGGTTGAATCAGTAACTGAGATACTAGGGATAGGTGTGTCAGAGACAATGAGATTGTCACAGGATAGAGTAGGGTTTAGGGCTATTGTGTACATAGGTCACTATGTGTCACAGGTGACTTGACGACACATAACAACAATGACAACAACAGCATGTTAATTAACAGTTATTTAGGGCAATATCAGGAAGACAAAAATCCTCATCACTGGGTCAACAGACAACGTCATGATAGAGAGAAAGAAGATTGAAGTTGCCAGTAAATTTATCTAGCATGGATGGATTCACAATCTACATCATTGACCCCAGGCATTGCATTGGATAAATCTATCAAAGGCCTCTCTATAGTATTAGGAGGTAATAGTAGTATCAGACTAAGGTACATGTGATTGAAGTCATGGTCTTCTCAATTACTTGTTAAACATCTGAAAGTTGGACAATGAATAAGGATAACAGAAGAATCAATGCCTTTGAGTTGTGGTGCTGGATAAGAGTACTGAATATTCCTTGTATTGCCTAAACAGCAACCAGATGTGTCTTAGAGAAAATGCAACCAGTGTGTTTCTTGGAGACAAAGATGGTGAAATTTCCTTGGGTTTGTTGTTAGGAGGGCCCAGTCATTGGAAAAGGACATCATGCTGGGAAAGTTAGAGAACTAGCGAAGGAGAGGAAGACCCTCGGCTAAATGAACTGGTGCAGTGAATGTAACATTGGGCTCAAGTATGTCAGCGATGATGAGGATAACACAAGATAGAGCAGGGTATAGATTTATTGTTCATAGGGTTGTTATGAGTTATAGTAGAGTTGATGGCACTGAACAACAAATGCCTTGTGAGTAAGGTGTTATGCTTCTAACCCCAAAGCTCCTCCTCTCTGGTGATATATATTATCTATCTATCTATCTATCTATCTATCTATCTATCTACCTACCTATCTATCTAACAGCTATCTATATCTGTCTCCTCTAAAAATGTGCTGTAGGGTCAGCTTTGAGTCACTTCCAAGTTGATGACAATGAATTAATTAGAGAAGCCAGGCACTGTTGGTATGATTTCTTTGAACATTTCATTTAATCTTCAAAAAAGTATATTAATTTGGTTTAGGAGATAAATAAAACAGGACACAGTGAGATTAAAAATGTGCACAAGTCATAAAGTAAGAGACAGTACTGGTTCCAATAGCAACTTGCCATGCTAATTAAAATAATAATAATTGTTAATACTTCATTAAAATTCATTTCGCTTTTTAAAACCTTTTCTTTTTTATTGTGATGTATGTGAACTTCTAGAAAAGAGTTTGGCTTTGCTTTCAAACATTCTAACACGTTTTATTTTATAACACTAATTACAATACCCGCAATGTAATCCCACTCTCATCCCTTTCTGCATGTGGTTCTCATTTCCATTCATCTTCCTATCTCACCTTTTCTTGTCTTCTGAGCTTTACTCTTGAGCAAGTGCTGCACTTTTGATTCTGTGCTGTTGTTGTGTGCCATCAATTCAGAATCAACCCGTAGCTGGCCCTCCAGTGGGTTTTCAGAGGTAGTAAATTGCATGGGAGGAGATTGTCCATCCTTCTCCCATGGAGCAATTAATGAATTTAAACTCTGTGTCTTTGGGATGGCAGGGCAGCTTTCTACCAATAGGCCACGAAAGCTTTCTTTTGACCTTATAGAATTGATTATTCTAAGGAGTGAGTGCCTCCCAGATAGTGTTCCCCTTATAGGCCTGTCTATTGTTTGATTGAAAGTTGGGCCAGACAGCTGAGTTTTGTTTCCATAGTCTTGGGGATTGCACCAGTTTCTATCAGACCAATAAGCCAGGCCATTTTCTGGTTTTAAGTTTTGTTCTTCATTTCCCCTAGTTCCATCTAGTAACCACTGGTCATCTTAATTCTTCCAGTCTCAGGATTGTGGAAGTCTAGGTTAGCATGGCCTTTGGTGCTTAAGATTGTTTATATATTGTTGTTAAGTGACATTGAATTGAGTATGACTCATAGTGACCCTATGAACAACAGATCTGAATATATATATATGTATGTTTGTATATATGTTTGCATAAAAGATAATGATAGTCTAATGATAGTTTGCTTAAAAGCTTCTAAAACTCTAGTCACTACTTACTAAAGTAGGATGTAGATTTTCTTTGAGGACTATGTTATGCTAATAGATCTGAATGTCCCCTGAGATTTTGGTCCTGAGGCCTCAGGACTATGATAGAGTTCATTTTGTATTGAGTAGGATTTATATATTTTAAATGTCCAACTAACAATTTTTCCCATTTTCTTCTTCTTTTCCTCCCCACCCCAGGAAACTACTCCTTCATTTTATTATGCTATGTGTGGCTGGGGGTGCTCTTCAGGCACAAGAACAAGGTAAGACCGTTACCTTGTTATTAACTAGTTGATAGCAAAATCCTGCTTCTAGATAGCAAAATATTTTATACTTTGAACTATCATAATTATAAATTCAACACTCACGAATAACAAAATTCCACCCAACACAATGTGAATGTAAGGGTAGAGAAATCAATTTTGGGGGAAAATATGACCTTTCACAAATTACTCATGTCTTCCATCTATGAAATTGCTTACATTTTTAAGCAAAAGCTTTATAAAAAGGAAGTTTTGTACAGTAAAAAGGCTTTGCTTGTGACTTCAGTTTAAGTGGGAGTGTTTGGGGGTGGCAAACTGTGACATAATTACCTTTGCACTTCTTGAAACAACACAAGCATATATAAATGCTTAGTCTAGATTTGTATCATTAAGAAACAAAGTAGAATTTGCATACTAGTAAGTTTGGGATTTTACAGAATTCAAATGGAAAGATTTAGAAAATAGTTGAGTGCTTTGTTTTTTGTTGTGTTTTTACTTTTGTTTTCTGCTAGAAAGTTGCTTTGGTAAGATGATAGAGTTTCAGGAATTTATTGCATTCTCTAATTCATTCATTCATTAAATAATTTAAAAAAAAATCTTCCAATCCACAGTGCAATACCCTAAGTGTCAATGATAAAAATTAATAAGATAATATCTTTGTCTTTAGAAGTAGGGAAAAAATAACTTTCTTAAAGGTAAAATAATACAAAAAGAAAAAAGAAAAAACCCTGGAGCATGCCAGAAGTATATACAATGTCACTATGGCCCCCACCTTCATCTTTTATTTTTTTAGCCTTGGACTTGCCACATTATCATTTTGATGTAACTGATTTTTCAATTTTTTTAGTTTGTTTAACCAAACAAATTATCAGTTAAAAAACCCCCAAGTAAATTATAAATGAAATATGTGTATTGTGGAGAGGGAGGGTACGGTAATTTATTGACCAAATTGACAAGTGCACATAAACAGTTATTCTGTCAGATATGATGTTGGTATTAGGTGCTATGTAGACAAAAGCTTTGTCTTTTATATTTTGGTCATGTTTCTAGGAGAGGCTATTCCTTGGACAAGGATATCATGCTTGGTAAGATGGAGGGTCAGTGAGAGAGGAAGACCCCCAAAGAGATGAATTAACACAGTGACTGCAGCAATGGCCTCAAGTGCATGAGAGATTTTGAGGCTGGCACAAGAAAGGACATTATTCAGATATCTTGTTCATAGGGTTGCTATGAGTTAACTGAACAGCACATAATAAAACAATTTTCCTTTCACACTGTGAGTTAAAAAGAGAAAATCTTCCTCTAGAGCAAGTTCCTTCTAAATTGTGAGAGGATAAACTTGTTTGCCAAAGTAAATAAACAAGCAAACAAGCAAAAAGCCCTACAGAGCTTTCATATAGATTACATTCAATGTAAACATAACCGAAATCCTTCCAATGGGGCCAATAAGTAAAATTTTGATAAATAGAGACAATATTGGACTTGTCATGGATTTTCTTTTACTTGGGTCTACAAACAGGGCCTACAGAAGTGACAGAAAGTCAAACAGCATGTTAGTTAAATCTGCTTCAAAATATCTAAAATACTTACTATCGTTGAGTTGGAACTAACTCATTCATAACTGACCCTCCAGTGAGTTTTCAGAGGTTATAAATACCAGAGGAGAAGATTGCTCATCTCTTCCCATTGCAGAGCTGCTTGTATTTTGACGAGCCTGCCCTGGGCCTAGCTGTGCAACTCCCCAAAGTCTAGGTCACTAGAACTTTATAAAGTTCTCTTTAAAGTCTTAAAAAGTAAAGATATTACTTGAAATTTGCTCTGAATAAGAAGTCAGTAGATATTAAGTGATCATGACTTAACCATAATATTTTTAATCAAGTCATACTTATGCAAAGTCTGGACAATGACTAAGGAAAACTAAAGAATAATTGATGCTGAAGAATTATAAGATGTTGGGAAAAATTATTTTACCTAGACTTCTAGAAGAATGAGCAAATCTCTCTTAGAAGAAGTATAGCCAAAATATTCCTATAAATTGACACTTGAGAGGCGTCATTACCTGTGCTTCATTTCTGGACAAGTTATCGGGAGGAACCAGTGCCTAGAGAATAATATCATGATGGGTAAAATAGAGTCAGTGTAAAAGAAGAAGACCCCAAAACATGGATTAACACAGAGGCTGCAAAAAAGAACTCAAGCAGAGTAATAGTTTTAAGGATCACACTGAGGAATTGGGGCAATGCTAAGAATCGAACCGTCTTGATAGTACCTGACAGCAAGGATCAATGAGTAAATGAAATAAATTATATTTTCCAACTTTAAAATGTTGCTTATAAAACAAAACAGGTATTCTTTCATTTCCAAATGCAATTTCTCTACAGGATTTTCTTGGCTGTAATCTTTATGGAAGTAGATCACTAGGGTTTTTTTCAGGACAAGCTGCAGGATCTTTACTCTTGTATCGCAGTCAAAGTTTCGCCATTTGTGCCGCTCAAGTTCTCCTATAAGATTTATAACAAAAATAGTATCACTTGCTTTTACCCATCCTTGAAATCTTCACAGATACTTTCTTTTAGCAGCTTTTTTATTCAACTTCTGCTTTTTAATGTATTTTATATATTGCATTGACTTCATATTAGCAATAATAATTTAACTTTAAAAAAAATATATTTTATCTT